ATGTTTTCCTCACGCGTAAATTCATCGTGATAAACAACTAGTTTGCGCTTCACTTGGGGTTGGCATCCATAAAACTGGAGCGGCAAACTGTTAACGATCCTAATTACACTATTCCCCATCTCCTTCGTCATCTCATGCCTCTTTCTCCTTTACATTCAGTCACTTCCGGTTTGCCAGTAATTGTTAGCAACACGAGACAGTAGTGAATGGGCGAAAAAATACACACACAGACACATACACAGTGAATCGTTGAAACTACCGCTTGTCGGATTAATTGGGAAGAACCAGAGGAGCGATTAAAGTACTATTGGGTCAAGAGATTCCACTCGAATCCCGGAGTGCACTTCCGTGCGCGAAACCGGATCTCCGATTTCACGCGGCATCGAGTCCAAGGCTGAAAAACTTTCGCACTCCCTCTGTCCTTCTTTTTTCTTCATGACTTGAATGACGTGACAGGTAGTAGTATGGCGGTTGCATTGCGGAGGGGAATTGAAATTGTGGGGCGAGAGGGCGGTGGGAAAAATTCAGCCGAAAAATTTAGACGTGAGATAATCTGTTTTCCCGTCGATATGTGATAAAACGGAAAATTTCCGATCCAAAAAGAGGCTGGCGATCTCTGACATCCGCTCGGTTACCGAGAAATAGCGACGATAAAATTCGACCTATCGCTGTTAAATTTTGGGCTAAAAGGATTTCCCCTGTATTTTAGAAACTACTGGGGCCAAATAAGTCGCTGTGCTGAGTTTTTCAGCTGAAATTTTCCTGGCTTTCGGATGGGCCTCATTTCTCAATTTCTCAACTTTTTTTTTTCCATATTCGAATAGATATCGGAGTAATTTCATGTGAATGAATGCCAATTCTACGATTTTCAGCGAAAAAATTATCTCCGAAATGCTTGAGAGAAAAGTGAGTACAAAATTCATTCGGTCTGGAATCCCCGAAGAATTCAGAGCGTCCTCGAGAAAGTAAGAACGGTAAGAACTGAACGACATTTCTGAGTTGTAAAAGTAGGTTACTAGGATGAAACAGAGCGGATATTTCGGCCGAACACGTTCTCGCAATCCGTGAGAATTTACTTCAATGTTTCGACAAGTTTTTCCACAAGCGATTGAGAGTTGAGAGATGAATTAATGGAGTGGCACATGCCCTTTAAGGCTTGAGCGGTTGCTGGCAGTTTTATTACGATATTTATCTTCTTTTAGCATGAGCTGAGGTTTACGATTGTAGGAAGCACCTGACTAGGTGATGCCATCTCCTGGAAAATAACCGAGCACTCACTGGTGCTTGAAATTCATGAAAGATGTCTCTTTTTTTTAACTCCAACAATTCCCAACCAAGTGTATTTTTTAATTCCAATCAATTAATTCAAAATTAGTCTTAATTCCAATTAATTCAATTTTCTGCAACTCAATTTTCGTTTTTTTCTGTTTATAAAATACAATTCCGTTACCGACCGGAATCCCAGATAGTTCCCCATCTTCGGGGGCGCCACTTCCTGGAGGAAATAATTTTCATTAATTATATTTAAATGGAATAAATATTTTTTATCGTTCCAGAAGATCCTCTTCCCTCAATAAAATCAACAGAACATTCCCTTCACACCTTTCTACTCCCAATAATTATTCCGTCGACAAAAACCTGATCATTAATTTATTCAAAAAAACCAATAAATTTAAATTGTGTATAATAAAATTCATATAATAAATCAAAAACTTTTCCTCACTTCCAGGAGGTGTCAACATTAAACAATAAATTTTTATAATACAATCCTCAATGGAATGCTTTATTTACTGAAATCACCGATATCCTTGGTTTCAATTCCCCGCGTGGAATTAACCACATGTAATTACACTAATTGCATATTATTAGAAAATTCCGCTGTCATGTTCCTCAAGTGGCGGCTTTTTTAGGCGGGGATAATCCACAATATTCGTATAATTCATGAGAGCAGAAATTTTTGAATGCCATAAACGAGGAGCGACGCATATTGATTACGACTATCAGTCGTTGCGGGGATTTCATTCGAAGTGGATCATTCATCTCGAGTCATCTCCAAAATGGAATTACTTACCCTAGCAGCGCTAATTCTCTCACTTCCGATAATTATTTTATTCATTTTTGATTTCTACCTGCATCACGACAGAAGAGGATTCTTAGTAGATAAAATTCCAGGCCCCAAGACCTTTCCATTGCTCGGAAATTCATTGGATGTTAATGTACCTCCGGGTAATTATTGTTGCAATTGATCTTTCAATTACTGCTTCAGTCCATGAACTGTGAAAAATCTGAAGTAATACCGTTAATTATTTTGCAAGAAAAAAGACAGCTCCATATATCCGCGATTTCACGTGTTATCGCAATCATTAAGTGATAATGAATATGACTGATGATAATTATGAATGTTCAGTCATTATGATTAATGCAAAAATTTAATATTTTTTATTTCAGAACAATTGTGGAATTTTTTTAGGGACTCAGGGAGGAATTATTATCCTGTCTACAAATTTTGGGTCCTCAACTGGCCCGTTATTAATATTCGCCATCCCGACGACCTCGAGGTGAGATTATCATTATTTATTCATCCAACGTGATAATATTTTCTTATCATTACTTCAAGATATTTTTATCGAGCAACAAAATGATCGAGAAGAGTCTGTTCTACGATCTTCTCCGCTCGTGGCTAAATGACGGACTCCTCACGAGTAAAGGTATCGATTTCTCATTAATTATTAATTATTCCCAATTATTTCTGATGAATTTATCGGCCATTGAATCCATTTTTCATTATTAACAATTCATATTTATATTATCTCTCAATGAACTCTCGATTCTTATGAATAAATATCTAGGCGATAAGTGGCGAGGCCGGAGGAAAATTCTCACTTCAGCTTTTCACTTCAATGTTCTCGATGAATTCGTTGACACATTCGTCGAACACACGGACAGACTTGTGGAAACTTTACTGGAGGAGGCACAAGCTGGTGATGTTGTCAAAGATCTCCTCCCCATGTTCTCCAAGTTGACTCTCGGAACTATTTGTGGTAAGTATTTTTGTAACTTGTTGACGCAGCGAGAAGCTATCATCAATTTTTTCATGAAAAATTGCAATGGAAATATTCGAGAGGAATCGCTTGTCATAATTCATTATGAATCTGTAATTAATGCAAATTACGTCGTAATTTGATGTTGTGTAGAAACGGCCATGGGAACTAAATTCGATGGAGAAGACGAAGCGCAGAATGAATACCGGAAAGGGATTTATGATCTTGGAAGCCTATTCTACTGGAGGTAATATTAAAGGGAGACCAATAATTATTTTTCTTAATTTTTTTAACAAATTGAAGAAGAATTGGTAAATAAAAAATCATAATGTTGATTAACCAACGAATCGATTTCATAAATACTATATTAATTATTAATTGATTAATTAACAGTTATCGAGAATTCAATTTTATTTCATGATTAATTATCCTGATTATTATGATAAACGTGTTTATAAATAATTCGAGAGTTGTTACTGAAAAAATTCCTCGACAGAGCAACAAAACCCTGGCTGAAGAGCGACTTGATCTTTTCGATGACGAAAAATGGAAAACGACAGGCAAAAATCGTAAAACGACTCCACGATTTTACAATGGAAATAATTAAAGAACGAAAACAGTATCATCATTCGACCGGTGGAAAATATTTAAATGAATTTTCAACTCACGATACGGAATCCAGGAATCCATCTGCAACAAGTAC